TTCATTTGTGCAATATAGAAACTTTTAGGGTTTTTTATTTCAGAAAGCCAATAATGTGTGGTATATTTTTATTAATTTATTTTTGGCAAGGCTCTACATGGCTACACAAGTGCAGTGCATTTATATAAATATAGTGAAAGGTTTATAGTTTACTCTTAATCATGTTTACAGTAGGCTTACTGTGTGATTTGATATCTAAGACAAGACTTGTTCATTGATGACAAATGCAAGTTCCCTCGAATCTCATTCGACCTTGTTGCAGCAAGTGTTGAACCTGACCCCACCCCGAAGCAACTGAATTCCCTGCTGTCAGAGTCAGACCAACAACACTAAGTGATTCAACTTCAGCAGATGCTTGCCCGATCAAAACAAAAATCTTTCTCTTTTTCTTTTTCTTTATCCCAGTATAGTCAATTCTGACAAAACTTCAAAAATTTGTTTCAAAAATTCATTCTTTTTTTTTTGCTTTACTTTATCTCTCTCGATATAATCAATTCGGTCACAACTGCAAAAATTTATTTTCAAATATATTTATATTTATATCCATATAATTTAATTTAAAAAATAAATCACAAATAAAAAAATATATCAATATGTAGATATCATTTTGTATAGAATAAATTCTTTTATAATTTCAAAAAACTAAAAATAAAAAAATTTTAAATAGTTACTTGCACAGCAACAAAAAAAAAAAAAAATTTATTCAATTTTTGCCGCTTCCTTCACAAAAAAATTTATTTTCATATATATTTCTATTGTCCGATTTTTGCCCTTTTTTATTATTTGATTTTTGCTCCTTCCTCCCCACAAAATTTATTTTCATATATATATATATATATTTATATTTATATTTACTTTCATATAATTTTATTCCAAAAATAAATTACAAATAAAAAAAATCTATCAATATGTATATCATATTTTAGATATTAATTTTTTTATTGTACAAAAACTTAGAAACTAAAAAAAAAATTATAATTAAAAAGATATTTTAAACAAATCAAAAAATAAAATTTTGGATTGATTGTTTGCACAGCAATCTAAAAAACTTTTGTCCGATTTTTTTGCTCTTTCCTTCATGACGAGTTAATTTGTTGACACGGCTCCGGATCACCCGAATCCGAACTTAGACGGACCGATTGTAACCCGAACCCGGTCAAAGCTACTTGTTTGCTTAGAGGTTGTAATCGTTTGATCTTAATCAAAATGTGTGGTTTAGATTTGCTTGCCACTTAAGATGTGTGACTTAGATTAATTTTGTCATTTATTATATATACCCTTGTTTATTTTCTTGATGGACACACAACTTAGATGAGAACATTTTTGTGAGAGGGTTTACCTAGCTTTGGAGTGATTCCATCCGCCGAGAGGGCAAATCGATTCTTTGAGCTTCGAATGCAATTGCATGAGAGACAGAAGATGCATCGGTAGCCTCGGACAGTCCGTGGATTCTCGAAAGTGCTTGCTCGAGAGGAGTGATTACTTTTTTGGAATTCGACTTATCCTATTTATATTTCGATTTTGATTCGTCATTTGTAAGTTCCCGTATATATTAGATACTTGTCTTTCAAGTTTGATTCATGGAGACGATGCTAATCCATGTCATAAATTGGTATCAGAGCGGTTGTTGATTTGACCATAAGATTTCGTAGCTATCTTGTTCACAACATGTTCGATAATATGTCTCTATGTCCTGTTTGATCAAATTTGTGTTAGAACATAGGTTTAGTTAATGTTATTTGGAGATAGTTCATAGTTTCTGGAAATAGCCATTTCGTTATTGCAAAAATTTCCTCTCTAGTGGAAATGATAACTAGTTCCAATCCATTGTTAGTTGTCAAACATAAGTTGTGTTGTTGAATTTGTCTCTTAAGAAACACAAGTTGTAGTGATTTTTGGCCGGCACTAACAAGCTTTATTCGTAGTTTTCTAAGTGTTCTTAGACCTTGATTGAGTAATATGGTTGGTTTTGAGCTTAAACACATCAAATGATCATGGAATTAAGTGAATTGAGGGCTTAGAAGTGTTTTTTTGTGAGTTTTGTCGGTAAATCGTATTTTGGCCGTAACTTTTGCATACGAACTCCGATTTACTGTTGTGAGGTGGTTTCGAAATCGGCATCGAGTCCTCTATACAGTGAGCACCGCCTTGCTGTGTTGTGATCTCAAAATCTTCAAAAAAATCTTGGGTCCAACATTCTATTTTCTGTTTTGAGCAGTCGAATTGTTCGATTTACTGCTCTCAATTGGCTGGGAATTATTGAGTGATTCTTTTCTTTCATGTTAGATAAATCCTTGAAGTTGATTTTAATTTTTGGAATCGTGAGATTTGGTTTCGAATAGCTCTCCAAAATAGCGTTTGAATTTGGTTATAGTGCATTGCGTACTGTTTTTGAGGAGTGTGGCAAAAGTGCAATAAAAGAGCCAAGATGGTATTATAAATTAGAAAAAAGGCGCACTCTAAATATTAAGTAAAAACCTAGAGTATTAAAAAAAAAAAAAGAAAACAAAAAAACAAAAGAAAACAAAAAAAAAAAAAAAATTAGCAGCACATTATCTCTTCTTGTTATAGTGAATTGTCGATCATTTGGATAATCATACTTGAGAGTCACTAAACCAGTTTTGATGAAGTAGTTCTCTCCTTCTGTGGGGGTTCTTTTGAGTTAGGAGAGATTGTCATGATCAAATGATGTGCTAGGGATTTCGATTTTAGCTTGTTGCTTAATTGTGGAATAAGAACTTGTGTCAAATTTTCTTTACATTCTGCGATTATAGTTTAGTGTCGAATCCTCTAGTTTGTTTCCTAGTTGATGCGTCTTGTTTTTGTTCAAAATTACTTCTCCTTGAGTATTGCATTTGAAGGAAACTGTTTGAGGTATTTGCAAAACACTTCTTCTGTTTTGATTGTGGTTGTTTCTGATTTTCCTTTATGAGAGTTGTGAGAGAGAGTGAGAGCACTTACCTTTCGATATACATATATATAGTTTGTCATTGTTTGCAGGATGACCACTTTCGAACAATTGAAGGAGCTGTTGGAAGTGAGTATGCAACAATTGGAGGCCAAAATGGAAAAAACTTTATCCATGCAACAAAGGGCAACTTGGAATCATGTAGAGTACGCCGTGAATAAGAAAATAGAGGACCTCAATCACAGGTTGACATCTTTGGAGACGGCACAAACTGAGGTTCCTTCTGGAGTAGCTGATATTCGGAGTAGATATGATGCAGTTGAGGCTTCTCGTCATCGTGATGTGAGTCCTTCAATGTGGTCAGATGCACACAATAGTCGTAACTCAGAGCACTCATTCTATGAATGAGACCGAACTTATCATCGACGTGGTGAAGTGGATGACAATCTTTGTACCATTAGGATTACCCTTCCCACCTTAGGAGGATTAAGAGGAATTTTTGGATTGGACGATGAAGTGCGATATGGCATTTGACTACCATAATTACTCGGATGGCAAGAAATTCCGAATGGCGATTTGTGAATTCAGGGATTATGCATTGACTTGGTGGGAGAATGAGAGACGTATAGAGAACGGCATCAACGAAATCCGATTGATACTTGGCCCCGGTTGAAGGAAATCATGAGGAAGCGTTTTGTGCCACAAAGTTATGAACGAGATATGAATATCAAGTTGCAGTCATTGGTGCAAGGTTCGAAATCGGTGGAGGAATATTTTAAAGAATTAGAGATTTTGATGATGCAATTGGATATTGATGAGAGCGAGTCATTGACAGAAGCTCGGTTCATTAAGGGTTGAGGCGTGAAATAGCTGATACGGTTGAGCTGCACCGTTTTCGTTCTCTTCGGGAAGCTGTGGATTTGGCTATCAAACGCGATGAGCAGTTCAAGAGACCAACCTCAACCAGATTGTCATCTCAAAGAAGTTCCCAACCATTTATGTAGCTCTGGTTGTATCTTCTATCGGATCTAAAGGAATTGTTTTCGCTAAGCCTTTCGATTAAAATTTGGATAAAGACAAGTATAAAATAATTAATAAGAAGGATGAGGCTACGAAGTTCAAAGGAAAGGATTTTGGACATCAAAAACAAAAGATTGTAACGTGCTATAAGTGTCATGGACAAGGGCACTATGCAGGTCAATCCCCCAATAAACGAACCGTTATGATTTTGGAGAATGGCGAATGGGGATATGTCGATGATGGTGACAGCGATGAGGTAGTAGAGGCTGAAGCAGAGGCTGGAAGTGATGATGATGTTGAAGAAGTGTGCGATGAGGATCCATTAAGTTTAGTAGTCATGCGTGCCTTGACCTCTTTACCGCACGAAAATAAGGATGCGGAACAACGAGAAAATCTATTCCATTGTCATTGCAAGGTAGTGGGACATACTATATCCATGATAGTGGATTTTGGTAGTTGCACCAATGTTATTAGTTCCTATGTGGTCGAGAAGCTGAGTTTGAATACCACCCCTCACCCGAAACCATATAACCTGCATTGGATAGGCGATGAAGGAGCTGTCCGTGCCGATAGATGAACGATTGTTACCTTTTCGATTTGTGGTTTCAGTGATGATGTCCTTTGTGATGTGTGTCTCATGTGTCCCGTGAATGCATGCCACCTCCTTTTGGGACGATTATGGCAATTTGATAAATTTGTTCTGTACGACATATATAAGAATCAAATATCAAAAAATGAGATGAATAGTAAAAGTTAAATTCAATCCCCCGAACAAATACACCCTTAAGCGATATAGTAACAATACAAACTTAGATTAATATCCATTATTGGGTTTCAGAGAATTCATTACTACAGTACAACTCGGCCAATCATTTCTTTTTGACATCTTCATTATAAAATTATTTTCAAATTAATCATTAAAATACTTGCATAACATCAATCAATATCAAAATTTTTACATTTGAAATTGCTGGGGGTGACTTTACATTTGAGTCGTATTTTCTGGTAGCCAAAGCGGATTATCACGTCATTTTTTTTAAAAAAACCTTGAGTGAGTCGAAGTCATGTAATATTGACGACCTTTTACCGCCCCCACCCACAGTCAATCCAAAACAAAGTTCCCAAAACCATAGCCACGCTCGCAGCAGCTGACGGATCTCTCCATCTGCTACCCAACAATGGCGATTTCGAGGCCATCCGCAGCTCTGCTCTTTGCGATCTTAACCGCAACTGCGTTGGTGGAATCCAGCAGCGACAATAACCACGTGTTCTCGCCGTGCGGCGACGCCTCAGTGCAGAGATCCGATGGTTTCACTTTCGGGATCGCGTTCGCTGGGAGAGGATTCTTCTTCGCCAACAACTCAGTTCAGTTGTCTCCTTGCGATCGCCGCCTCTCGCTCTCCTCCAACAACGCTCAGGTCGCCGTTTTCCGCCCTAAGGTCGACGAGATCTCCCTGCTCACCATCAATACCTCCAATTTCTTCCCGGTAATGTTCAATCTACGATATTATGTAGTTGGGTTGTTAATTGGTGGAATGATGATTCGGAGCTTATCTGAAATTTCCTTTGGATTTTCGCCAATGGTAAATCAATTGGATTTTATTCATTTATTATTATTATTATTGTTGTTGTTGTTGTTTTTGTTTTTTCCCAACTTTCGGTTGCTTTACCGTTTAGGAGAGGAGGTTGTTAAGTGAGTTGTCATATGTAGAAAATTGGTGAATGAACTTACAACTGGTTATACTTTTGAATTTAGTTTAGTTACCAAATAGAACTTGGATGATAATGGAATCTTTTCGCATTCAATGTTGATTCTCCAGTTTAAAATAGAATTCAAGTGGTAGGAACTATGAACTAGAGTTTCATTGCGGAATCCTCTTACGTTCTTTATCAAAACCCTCGTATGAGACCGGCCAGGCTATATATGTTTTCAAATTGAATTCCTGCTTAACATTTTCCCCCTATGGGTCCTGTCCAGTTTTTCCTTTCTAAGCTTTCGGTCATGGTATGGAGGTTGGTGCTGCTAGCATTTAGCATTTGATAAGTTGTTGGCACCATGACACAGTCATGGTGATGTATGCTGGCTGGCTATATTGTCACTTTGTTCGTGTTCAGTCTGACCTATGCATAATTTGTATGCTTCTTTCCTGCTTAATTTTAGCCTGAAATATCAGATTCTGAGGTTAAATTGCTTGTAGAATGGAAAAGAAAATGTTCAACCAGGGTAAGATAATCGTTTATGTCCATTTTAATCATAGTAGAACCTCTTCAAATTGATACTTGTAAATTCATGACTTCTTTAAGATAATACTCATCTCCAGTTCTGACTTCAGCTAGTTGAAACATTAACAAATTTTGTTACGATAATAAGATTATATATTTTCATAAAAATGGAGTCCCATAATATAATTACTAATAAACGTAAACAAGCACAACTAAGAGAATTTAGTGCAATATGTCTCAATCTAGTTGGAGCTCATTTCGAACTTTTCTTTGCTCATTTGATCCGCCATTGTTTAATTGTCTATCACCATCATACATTGAATAGTTTTAGTAAAAGTACAATGAATAATCTTAATTATTAATTAGGAACACTGACATTATTCAATAGCTTTCATTAATATGATGTATAAAGAACATAAATTTTATATTAATTCAATTGATATGATGCGTGAATTTTTCCAAGAAAAAAGTACAATGCTTTTAATTTTTTTTATATATAATCAAACTTTAACCTTATTTACTTACATAAGGTGGGAAAGTTATGCTGTTGATATAGACCAAGATTAGCAGTCTTCAACTTCATTATTTGCATCTACACGTGGTAAAGAAGAGTAAGATCTTTCGCTATTAACATCTTAGTGTTGCAGGCAATTATTGATGGATTTATTTTATCTGGAACTTATAAATAGACCACTGTAGGATGAACTAGTTAATATTGTCGATCAATCAAGTGAATTCCAAGATCTAGGTGAGTCCACATTTTTCTTGACCAGCTCAACTGGCCAAGATTAATTTGGCTCAGTTGATATATATGGCAACAAGCTATCTATTAATTCTTGTGGAACCCTTCAAGCATGTCTTTTGAACATTAGCAATTAAAAATATTAGAGGTTGATGTGATGTTTTGAATGTAATATAAATTTGTAGTATGATATAAAAAAAGAAAAGTAATTTTTTGATGTGATATGTTTGGAGGGAAAAATGAATCTTAATAGTAAAAACCTATAGTAAAATCCACAAAAGAACACAACTTAGATGGTAATGCGACGGCCCAATTTTTCTGACCTGACTGTTTTGTTTTGTGCATGTGAGATTGTTTGAGGGTTCATATCCTTGCAAGCTTGCCCCTTGACTGATTTAAACGAGAAGCTGTGCATTGGGTATAAGGGTTGTGTTCATCATAATTATCTAAACGCTCTTGTTGGACCTGTCTTCGAGGTCCATTTCATTCGAGAAGCTTACATTTAATTTAGAGTTAACTTCAACACAAACAGGCTACCACAGGAAATTTAAACTTGCATTTTGATGGGTTGTGAGATTGATTGTTTGTATGATAATTAATGAGAAGCTCTTTGGTGATTTTAAGGGAACTGCACTAGTAGTACGATTGTAGATTCCGTGCTTACATATATGTTCACATGTTAAATAAACTTATTAACGAAACAAACTTGGTGCTGATAAATTGAATGTTGAATTTACTTCCAAGACTGTTGTTAGGATGAACGTGTACTGCTAATCGACTATAAATATTATGAAGACACTGACGGAACAACATTGCTGTTGTATAACTTGCTACTTCATTATATATAAGAAATTAACACCACAGCAAATTGTTGTTGTGTTAAATCCATTCCAGATGTTTTGATCCCTGTAAATAATATATTATATTTGGTGTAATGTTTGCAGGACTCCTATGGAGGTTATATGGTTGCATTTGCTGGGCGAAAATATGCTGCAAGATCGATCCCTGCTTTTGTTGCCAACAGTACTTACATTGTAACAAGTTTTACTCTGGTAAGGGTTTGTTTAGTCGACCCTTTAATTATTGTATTTACACAGTAATCAATATATATATATATGTATTTCCAGGTTCACGAGTTCAAGAAAGGAAGGCTTCAAAACTTGTACTGGAAAAGAGATGGGTGTGCCTCATGCTCGGGAAAATCAAACTTTGTGTGTCTTAACAAGCAAGATTGCGCAATTAGGACAAACAACTGCAAAAACCGAGGGGGGTCTGTGGATTGCAGCCTCGGAATCCAGCTGGCATTTTCGGGCACGGACAAGCATGAGTCGGTGTTCAATTCATGGTATGAGGTGCAGAACCTCCGGCAGTATTCTCTCTACGGCCTTTATGCCAGCCTCCGGGACTCCCTTACCTCTCAGTATAGCAGATTCCTCTAATATTCTCGGATATCCGTTTCTTCTTCTCCTGCACACCGGTAAGTATTTTGTGTTGCTCTCTTTCTCTCATTCTGTGCTCCATTGTGCATTAAATATAAGTTCTCGCGCTGAGTGTGTTTTCCAAAGTTCTTATTTGTTTATGTGTATTTAAACTTCTTCAGCTGATTGAGTTAGTGTGGTGTGGCATTTTTCCTCTGAAGTCATTTTTTTAATATTTATTTGGCAAGTTTTTACTTAATTTTTTTTTATTTTTCTTTGCATAAGATATTTGTGACCTTATTTGACTAAATGAAACACCAGCCGACTTAAAGAGTAACATTTTTTTTTTCTTTTAAAAGATCATTATAGATTGATGAACACGATTCAAGAGACAAGAAACCTCCATGAGGAAATTACCTAATGTTTTTATTCCAACTCTTTGATGGCAAGTTAAGAAGGCAGGCTACGTGTATGAAAGGCCAAATCCCCGTAACGGTAGAGCTGACAATTGATCGATTCGTGTTGGATTCGTGTAGGGTTGAATACTTTAAATCGGTTATAAAATTCAACTTTAATCCAATTCGTTTATTATTATAGCGGGTTTGTGATGATTCCTATACATAATTAGATCAAAATTCTTAATTCAAATTCAATTATTTTTTGTCTTGTTTTCGTATTATGTTAGTTTTTTGCTAGTTTAGTGTTATGTGCACAATAAATTAGGTTGAATTATTCAAAGTTGAACTTAGTTTAAATTAATATGTTGGTTAATTATTAAATTATAATTATTTTACATATATAATAAATGTATTAATTAATATTAATATATTATAATTGGATTGTCGTGACAAATTCGAGTTGAGAATCTCAATCATAACTGAGTTCGTGTCAACCGTATACATAATCGGGTTGAAACATTTGATCCAAATTCAATTATTTTATGTGGGGATCGTGTCATATTGTTGTGTCATGTCAGGTTTTGCCAGCTTTATATAGAGGTAGGGGCGAGCATTCGGTAGGTTCGATTCAAAGAGAACCAAACTTTCAATTTTTATTGGTTTTTGGTTTGTAAAAATTGAAATCGAAATTAAACCAAAGTTTTTGAAAATTGAATTGAAATGAACAGAATTAGTTCAGTTCAGTTCAGTTTAAAACCGAACAAACCGATTTTTTTTTTTTTTTTTTTTTTTTTTTTTTTTATAGATTGAACTCATTCAATTCCTTCACTATATCTATGTGTATTCTAGTCCCTAGAGACATTTGGCCATCTGAATAATTCACGAGTTTAAAAATGATAACAATTCATAATAAGCCAAGAAAATTAAAAATAACCACAACTCAAGCCTAATACAAAACAAAGAACAAATTAAACTGCATTCCGATAAAAAAAAAGTCAATAACATCAAATGCAATTTTCTACAATTCACTCATTCATCCCTGCATAAAAAGACAACATTAATAGGAGGTTATTTTACCTTAATATTAACTTTGAGAAGATTATATTATACTACTAAATAATAAAATAAAAAAGGTGATTCAATTTTTTTTAAAAAAAAAAACTAAAAATAAATATAATTTACCAGACCGGTTAGTTTTCTTAAAAGAAATGATCTTCACTTCTTTACATAATCATAAACTAGAAATGGTAGAAGCTAAAAAGAATGAATATACAATTTATGAAAATTAATTATATTTAAATGAGAATTAAAAGAAACGCTGATATCATATCATATTGATATTAATAATGAAACAACAATATAAATGAGAGGATTACCTTCTTCAATAGTTGCTACCACGTTGAGTATTTTAATATTTCTCAACCAATCTTCACTACAAACAAGGGCTTTAACTGTTTTAGGAGTTAATGAATTCCAAAAAAGGTCAATAACACCCCACACAAATTAAATATAGATTTGGAAACCACTGTAGAGATGGGGATAACTAAAATATCACGAGCTATTGAACTAAGAATATAAAATCTTTGAAAGTTCAACTTCCACCAACTTAACCCATCAAAATCAAGAAAAACAGCTTCCCTTGGCTCACTCAAATATTTTTTCTAGTTTAGATTTATTCTCAACACTTCCAACTACAAGTTCAAACTTTTTCAACCTTACCTCTGTGACAAGTATCGTTTCTTCCTTTACTCTTTCAAATCATGAGTTTCCATTGATATCAAACTTGATTCTCAAGATTGAGATTTGGGTTGAATAATTTTGTTATACTCATCAAACAAGTCATAAAAGATATCTCTGACTTTTTTCTTGAGTTGTAATCCACTGACTTCTTTATACATGTCTCATATGCGAATTTGATGACTCCAAATATGAGCATATTCTTAACTTGACAAAATTGTGTATTACTCAAATTTCTGTATAAAAACCATCATAATAACCCATTAATGGCATACATTATTGATCTATATCGCTTGGCATGATCCAAATTTCGTTGTTGAGATTATTAACGACTTTTGCCCTTTTTAAGCGGTAGTCTGGTGCCAGAAAAGCTAAGGCATACGCCACAAACGACAACCACCTCCGCTCACAAGCACCCATAATACCTCCTGGAAAAGACTAAGGCATGAGAGGCAAGCGGTAGCTTTCACCGCCCGCAAGCGACAGCCTCTCCCGCTTGTAAGCGACAGTCCAGACACCCACCGCTGCAGATTATCACTAGATTCCAACTAAGTGTTCCAACTGCAGCGGTACAGCCATTTCATTTCCAGCCAGCACAAGCGAGCCTAGCTGCGTTGATGCCCTCTAGCTTTCCGGCAAACGAGGAAGATTTAAGCCCTTGAAATTCAATGCAATCAAAGCGAGCGCCCTGAGAGTTATGGCCAGCAACTGCTTCAACAGAATAACTACTAGTAACCGCCTAACTGCCCAGCGGTTGGAACCGCCCATCAACTTATTGCAACTGTCCCGTTTCACCTGCTATAAATAGGGCCAGATATCTTTATGTATAGAGGATCGATACTTCAATTTTAGAGTACTTCTAGGAATTACTGCATTCCAGTTGTCTTCCTGTCTCCGAGAGCTCCAACCTTGTAAAGGAGTTCTCCACAGGAATGGCCAAGGGAGTAGGGATTCTCCCTTCTCCCTTGGCCAAGTCTTTACCGTTTTCTTAGATTAGATTACTGTTTTCTTTTACAGCTTTGTAGTTCTAGTCTTTCCAGCTTTAGTAGTAATTAATGAAATATCATTCATTTTTTAATACTCATTTCCTCCACACTTTATCCACACTTATATAAAGTTTGAATTTAAAGAATTTCATTTCACTGGTTTAGAGCATGAGAAGAATTGATTAATCTAAGTCTTGCTATGCGCCAGAAGCGGTTTCAAGGTAGTTCAATGTAGTTAAGTACGGGGGAGCCTTGTCAACCTGCTTAACTACTGTTCTGAATTCAATTTTGATTAAGAAAAGGAGGTAACAGAAGGGTAAAGCCATTAATGAGGCAAAAATTGGGGAAATTAATGGGGCATGGGTGGTGGTCTATTAGGTCACAGAGATTCCTAGTGACAGTAGAGTTTCTTTCTTATAATGTCTCGATTCTGGGTGTCATTGAAGTCTTGTTGTAAATCCCTTAAGGTCAAAATTTCAGTGTTATGAAGTCTTTATATTTCAATTTATATAATTACATCATCCCCTTCTAACCGTTTCCGTAATATACATATATTTTCGATAACACACTTGCATCGCTCGCTCATTACATCCAAGGAAATCTATCCATTTAGTAACGTACAAGTCAAACATAACACCTCTCTTTCACTCTATGTCGCTCATCTACATATATAATGTGACATCCGCTCATGTCACGTTCATTCGGTAACCGTTATTCATCTATGTCCCGTTCACTCGATTTCCGCTTCGCTCACGTCCCGATCCTCTGGTTACCGCTGGCACTTCATACTTCACCCTCATTTCGCTCGCTTCCGCTCATTCACTTTTACCGCTTTATTCACTGCTTTCAATATATTAGAAATTTTGGATCCGCTGCAAACGGATCCATTCCTGCATTTTTTGCCGTTTTTTCAAAATCTTCACCTGTGAAATTTATGACTTAAAATCCTTGTGTTCGACCTAAAAACTCACTAGTAAAAAGAGTATAAATAATTGTGATAACTACTCAGGGTCTACAACCACATGATTTACTATATTTGATCACTTTTCTATAAACATCACTCACTGATTTTCGAATATAAATTCCCTGTGGATTTGTAACAAACTACGAAATAACAAATTTTAGTTATCAAAATTCAAGATAAGCTAACTTGTATTGTGGATCAAGAACGACTACAATGATAAATCAGAACATTGATTTTATCTGGATTGCCCCAATATTTATTATATTTGGCCTTCATTTTTATAGGCATAGCAACAAAATTATGATTTTAATGTGATTTCCATTGTTGCAACATTCCTTCAACCTTACATATCTCAAGGAAAAGCTTGTTGGAAGTCACATAAAGAGATTCAGACACCCTACAAGTAAGCTTATAAAAGTACTCAAGAAATTCTACCAATGGTCTCACATTATTAGATTTAAGCTCAACCAAATAAACTCGATCTTGCCTAACAAATCGCTCAAATGCATTTTGGAACTTTTGGGCAGTTTGTAACATCAAATATGTGGAGTTCCATCTAGTACAAACATCAAGGCATAACAATGTCTTGCTTTCAATCCGTTCAACTTCAACACATCTTTTAAACTTCTCCAATCTTGTTGGTGATTGGCGATGAACCTCACTGCATCTCGAACACAAACCATACATTGATTGAACTCTTTCAAACCATCATTAACAATCAATGTTAGCAACACATCGCATGTGAAGAAACTTACCTTTAACTATTCCACCCTTCTAATTCAAAATTTGTCTTTTCAAGTACTTAACAACAACATCATTGGATACATTATCCACGGTGTTATAAATTGTTTTTATACAATTCCCAATCGCTTAAACAAGTTTCTATAAGCATCTTAATATCATCACCCTTCTGACTTGTAATAGAACAAAAAATTAAAATAAAAAAAATTCTCAGGATCCAATTTTCATCAACATAGTGTTTTGTTACAACTATATAATTACATTGTTGAATAAAATTCCACGTATCCGTTGTTAGAGCAACCCTTATACATGTCCTTTTAAACAAGTTTTTCAACTTAGATTTTTCAACATAAAAAAAAAGAAAACAATCTCTATTTACTGTAAAGCGGGTAAGGATACGAAATCTAGGACATACAATATACATGAAATGTTTAAACCTTTCATTCTCTATGAATTCAAAAGGCAATTCATCCACAATCACCATAAAAGTCAATGTTTTTCTTTTCACTTATTCATCAAATTTCCAAGAACTAAGTTTGTCCTCTTCATCAGTATTTCCTACAAGAAGAGATTGGTTTGATTTTATCCTAGGATTTTTCTTATCATATTTTCGGATATAAGCTTTCGATGAGCTTATCCCATTGCCTTTTGAATTTGAAGCATATTGTTTACCACAATATTTGCACCTGCATCTTTCCTCCCTATTATTTGTCTTGAATTTAATGAAATGGTTCCACATATCAGACAGTGAAGC